GACTCTATGGAGGTCCTGTGTGCGGCGGTTTCGGGTCCCTGAAGATGGCGGACGTGGCACAGGTACTCGTTTTTTTGTATCGGAGTATTTGCACAAGTACTCATGCAAATACTCTGTATCGCCGCCGATACCGATGCTTGTATCGGTGCATCCCTAATTTTCACAATGTGTTCGGAAATCCATTCTTAGGCAGTTGCCACCGGGGCAAGTGTCCGCATTGGAAGATTTCCCCTCTTTTCCTATTCCAGGGATAACTAAAAATGTTGAATTTTCCCTAATTTTTATTACCAGTAATGATTGTCACTGGGACAAATATACAGGGTGGATTTTTTTAGTGGGATGCAGCAGTAAAAACCATGCAGAGGTTTTAACCTTTCCCTGCTTTATCCAAAAACGTTGTCTTTTAATACAGATGTGTAGTTCCAGCATGAATCAAAAAACTTTGATTTGCCTATGCAAGACAAAGTGACAACCCTGACCCTTATTCTCACCTTGTCTACACTTCCTCACTGCTCCTTTCCCCCATTGCAGCTGGCCCCGAAAATTGTGTGAATGACCTGAGGGAGCAATGGCATCACTCATTGGTCATGTGACAATGCTTGAGCCTAATGATTGGCTGTTAGGCATATGCACTTTTCAAGGGAAGAAAGTCACATTCTCCCCCATACGACTGGCTGCAGAGTAGGAAGAGCAGTGAGCGAGCACAGGCAATGAGAGTATAAGGGGGTCAGAGAGAAGAATTTTACAGAGACATCATCAATTTGCAGTGCATCAACAAGAGTTAAGTGGGTGTCAGGTATTGCTGTTATCCTCCTAAACAATACAAATACATTAAATTCATTTTTTTCTGAGGTCATAAGATATCCTAGCACCCACAGATAAACATGTAAACATGTTATACTTATCAAGTATAACAATAGCCTGGCAGAGGTAATACAGATTGTTAAAATTCAGGAATAGTTGTCTGATTAAAATGTTGCTTCAGGCTTGCCAGCAGGGTGTTTGTCCATTACCACTTCTACCTGCACTATCCTCAGTCTACTGCACATAAGATTCAGAAATGTCACGGCATACATTATTTTAATCTGTTTCATTGCCATTTGCAGGACTCCCTGTGAATTTTAGTATTAGTGTTACGTTATTTTTATCTGAAACCAACAAAGGTCTTTCTTATGCTATGTGCCCTGATACAGGGGTACTCTGTTATAAATCCAAACACCTTCTAGGCTGGAGACCATAAGCTAATTTAAAAAGGATGACTAGGGAGTAGTTCTTAATTAAGCTGCCAAATAGCTTCAACCTTGTTATTTAGAGCCATTTGAAATAAGACATCTTTTTATTATTGGCACATAATGAACACGAACAGAACTTGCTGAGGTGATGCTTGTTGTGCTAAAGAAGGAGTAAGGATTGCAAAGGAACCAGAAACCCATACATATTACACTGCCTAGAGCATTTAGATTGCTCAGGTGGGAATGAACATCTAAGAAAAAGGAATTTAACTGATTATGTACCATGCTATTTTTTGTTATTTACAGAAGGAATACTTTTTTCTTTTATTCTAATTTGAAGGAAGATGTAGAAGATGTCAGGGCACATTATTATTATTATTTGTATTTTATCCCTACAGGGAAGCCTTGCAAAACATGTAAAACATGGAAACTAGTAATTGCCACAGCCTGGGGTCTGGAGTTGTATAAGGGCAGACACTGACATGAAAACAAGGCCTCTTTCACTGATGTACATACTTAGTCAGTCAGTAAATCAAGAGGATATTGCATGTGCACAGCACATACAAAATTGCTGTTTCACAGATTTTCCATAAAGAAAAAACACTCTTTTAACAGTAATTAACTTTGCATTATTTGCTATAAATCTGTGTTACAGAAATAATACCAAGTCCATGTTAATGTCCCATGGGCTGAACATCCCTGTTACATGGTGCCCCTTTTGCCTTCATTTTTTATTTGTTCATATGTGTTTAAAACTCCTTTCCTGCACAGTAACAGCACTGCAAAACACAATTTGTACTTCACTCTTCCCGCTTGTGACTCTACGGCCAGCAGTAACAAAGCAAAAACCAACTAACATGGGCACATTCTGTACTGCATACCTTGGGTTATTTATTTTGGAAAATTGGGCTTTGCATTGTAGAGCAGAGACCTGAATTGTTTTTATATTTCCATGTGTTTTAAAAATTGGGATGCTTATGTAGTGATTGTAATAGAAAAAATGTAAAAAGGTTATAAGGAAAATATTAGTAGAGATTGGAGAATAATTGTCCGAACAACAGAGAAGTGTGTAGCATAAACATTTACACATTAGGGTAACTGCTGTTTTATAAGAATATTTATTGCAAATTATTTTGTACCAACAGACCACATTCAATCAATACTACTATATAAGCTCTGAAATTATGAGAACTGCTGCACACAATTCATACTGTATATTGATGCACATAGGAAATCCATTAGTGACTTTAATTGATTTTAACTGCTACACTTGCCATTTCTAGAATACCCATTTACAAACACATTTAATTTTAAATAAGCAAATTAAATTACACCATGCACATAACAGAGCTGTGAAAAAATATTTGTACTGTAGATGGCAGCATTTCAACTCGACTTAAAGTTTATTTCCAATATATACATTTTGATGTTTAGAGTAAGGCAGAAAGCTTGGAGTTTGCAGGCATAAAAGTGTAGTGTTTACCATTAGGATGATGTACCAAAAGAGTTCTGTCTGGTTGTATAAGTAAATACAAAATAAAAACTGGTTTACATTTTGAAATTAAAATTTCTGCATTACAAATGCTATTCATAAAACTGCAGTGTCTCTTCTTTTAACATTGCAAGGAAAATATACAGTTTGCATTAGACTTTAAGTAATAAAATACATGGTTATGTTTTCTTCATTCTACTCCCTAAACTCCAAAATACTGTAGCAATTAATGGCAAAGCATATTGCAAAGCCTTTTAGCTTGTACAAGTAAAATGCAACATTTTCTTGCAATGACACTGTAATGAACAGAAAAAAGTGTGTTTTTCCTAGTATCACTGACCTCCTGATAATTCTACTTGAGAATACTGTCACATTGATAATACTTATGACTATGTTTCCATGTAGCATAGGCAGATAAAACGTCAAAAAGTTTTCCCAGCACACTCGCCAGCCAGCATGCAAAAAAACTTGTCTCACTGTTTTTAACGCAAAGTTAAAAACAGAGGTTTAGTTACACGTCTTCTGCAGAAAATGTGAAAGTCGCACAGCCGCGGTAACAAGTTGACGAGTGTGTTTGCCATTTTTTTTGCTATAGGCAGATAAGACACTTTATATCTCTGGTGTGATCTAGACAACTCATGTATATAATAGTATGTCTCTATAAAACTCTCTATAAGTGCACAGTATGTGTTTCATTAAAACAAGTTGTGGCAGCTATTGTTTGGCCACACATAGAGTTAACCATGAAGTTAACAAACCCCAGTGATGACCATTCTTAGTCTGCTGGCCTTATATTCTTGTCTTATGAAGTGGGAAACCTCTGTGCAGGGTGATGCTTAGAGTACCATCACAGGTTTAAATACACTTTAAATTAGCTTGTCCGTTAGGAAAGTCTAACTCCACCATCTGCAATGAAGTAGTTGGACTTTGGAACATAGATGCAGACCCAGCAGGAGCTCTTTTAGCAAGGAGTTGTAAAAGAATTAACATTAAGTTGCTATTTGGGGCTCTATCTTGCTCCCTGCTTGGTCATATAGTTTGACACAGTGACTGAAAGAGCAAGCATACAAGCAAGTAACTTGTTGTTTATATTGACATTTTTTTTATTTTGATACTGGTTTATTTAAAACTCTTCATCATTCTTTACTTTCTTTGACCCCTTCACAGTTAATATTTCACCTTTGAGCGTGCCTGCTCCCTATTCTGATCTCAGAGAGAAAGGGAACCAGTAAGAAAGAGTCTTGTGCTGCCATTTCTAATAACTGTTGTGCCAGTAAACTAGTTCATTCCTCTCTACTGTTATTTGAGGCTAATCTATGCTGTGCTAGACTTTGACATATTAGTTTTATGTATAAATGTATAATGTGCTAAATCAAATTTAGAGGTCATGCATTGTTAAAATATTAAAACATTGTTATATGTTTACCAAAGGAACAGAGACTGTTAATCCTGCAAAATTATTATTCACCAAGCTTACTAAATCACTTCATTCATGTGCTAGTATTTTTCTTGCTGTCCAGTCATTCTAATTAAATAGCTGGACGACAGACTCTTAACAGTGGGTGGCCTATTTTAAGCATTGTTTCCCCACTCTCGCTCCCACGTGCCCTCCCCCTAGGAGACGTGAACATTGTTTACAGCCAGTAACAGCTGTTACATACAAGCATTCAGGTAGATGTAGAGCCACCTTCTCTTAGATAGTGTTGAAAGTTTACACCCCCAATGCCCCCACTGCCCACTATCAGCATAGTGGGTCTCTGCACTGAGATTGGAGGGAGATCATTACACTTCCTGTGGCTGAACTCCCCTGTGATTTCTGAATGCTGAAGTGATGTGTAGTACTTCTGTATAGCCGTCGGATCACGCTGCAGCAATGTGTGCTCCCCCTCCACACAAAAACGTTTCAAAATAAACATTTAAGTGAGCAGCTTCTACTCTACTAGGTTTTTTTTCTTTGTTTCAATCATAAATATATTTGTGAGCATATTTTGCCATTAAACAGAACAATAACATTATAATTACTACAAACCTGCATTTAATTATATGATTTCATATTTGCCTGAAGGTTCAATGACAATAGTTCATGTGTATTCAACAAAAATGTAGCAAATAATCTGAACTAATCTTTCTCTGATCTAAGTAAAATTAAATTTCAGTTGGTTGCTACATTTTGCACACAGCTTTTTGCACTTCCAAATTAATAAGCTTGTTTGATGTGTCAATTCACAGCTTGTTTCAGCTGTTGAATATTTTTATATGATTTTTCTTTTAATCAGGTGACTGAGGCGAAGCAGGTCTTGGAAAAATGCCTAAAACTATCGAGGAAGCTAAGAAAAGAGACAACCAGCTTGACTGAATGGTTAGCAATGATAGACACAGAAGTTACAAGGAGATCCTCTGAGGAGGGAATGCCAAGTAACTTAGAGGAAGAAATTGCCTGGAGCAAGGTGAGCAATCCACAAATCTCCATTCACTAGCATCTTTATAGAAATTTCTGAGTTCCAGGTAAAGAACAAAATAAAGTCCCATGAACTCAACATGAAAGAAAATTAACTTTATCAAAGTGTTTGAACTGTTTCTTTTGCCTACATCAACTAGTAAAATGTGCCCTTTCATTCTACAAATGCTGCATAAGAGAATGAAAAGGAGAAGCAGATCAACTGCACTGGCTATGGGCAACAAGATTACCTTCACTTCAGACACTTTGATTAGTAAGACCCAGAGTCTAAAAGATTTATTTTACCTCTCAAGCCATTTTGCTTCTGTTTTCTTTTGCAAAAAGTTCCTAATCAAGTCATTTAATGGACTAAAAATATGAAATAATGTATCAAAAACTGTCAACAGTAAGTATTTGCAACATTGTCTCTGAAATGTAACAAAGAAGATGGCAATCACTAACATATGTCTTATTCATGGAAATGTAACAGTCTATTTCCAGGTTTGGATTTTTAATTACTAGATTACTATACTACAGGTGAAACTCGGAAAATTAGAATATTGTGCAAAAGTTCATTTATTTCACTAATGCAACTTAGCCATCTACCAGGAGATTTTGGAGCACTTCATGCTTTCTTCCACAGACGAGCGATATGGGGATGCTGACTTCATTTTCCAGCAAGACTTGGCACCTGCCCACACTGCCAAAAATTTTCTGAAATTGTGGATCTGGGTTTTCATGAGCTGTAAGCCATAATTATCACAATTATGACAAATCACGGCTTGAACTATCTTGCTTTGCATGTAATGAGTCTATCTCATATATTAGTTTCACCTTTTAAGTTGCATTAGTGAAATAAATTAACTTTTGCACGATATTCTAATTTTTCGAGTTTCACCTGTATAATTGTATTCTCTATCCCCCATAGACCACAGCCCGTAAAGTCCAGTCACCACTTCTAATATTATTATTGTAATATTAGTTTGCGATTCTAGCTTAAATGAGTCAAATGACATACAAAAATACACACATATGATATATCACATTCTACAGCTCAAATATATACCAAGTTGTTTCTCAGACTACTCTCTTATGTTTCTAGAAAGTAGACCCATGTATGAAGTGAATAGAGAAATATATTACCATAATTTGTTGCTTTTGACATCCAAAATGAAAATAACACATATATAAGCATATATCATTTTTTTACCTTTATGCTATGTATAGAATGTATATAGTAATATATAATAAGCATGTAAAATACTGGACTCTGGGCTTAGTAACGCACTGGACTCTGGGCTTAGTAACGCTCTGGGCTTAGTAACGCGCTGGACTCTGGGCTTAGTAACGCACTGGACTCTGGACCTACCTGAGACCCCACAGAGCCCACCTGAGAGTGACTCTGCAGAGCACACCATAGGTCCTGCAAAGCCCATCTGAGACTCTCTATGGCGGCTCCGCAGGGCCTCAGGTGGGCTGGTTGCCGGGGACCATTTCCCTGTACCTCCTCCCAACTCCTCTTACCTGCTGCTGCTGGGACCTGGCCTCCTCCACCCCCTCCCTGTCACCTCTGCCATGATGCCCCTGGTACAGCTGATACTCATGTAAGAGGCCCACCAGGCTGCCCAGACCCCTCACATTGGTACTAGCCCCCCTGATGGCAGTGTTCTATCAAAGTTTGTGACTACGTTACAATGTGTGACCAGTGACGTGGTCACACATTTCAATGTAATCCCACCCAGTTTTTTGGCAGTGGAATGTGTGGCTGCCAATAGGTGAAGCATTCCAATGCTTTCTCAGATGTTCCAGGGCAGATCGTTATCGCAAATCGTATGTGCAGGAGAACTGATCTGCCCTGGAACAGCTGATCGGTCCTGAAATGTCACTTCTATCTGGATTTGTGAGTGCGATCTCAGATTCCACACCACTCATTAAGTCAGATAGAAGTGACATTTCAGGACGGAACAGCTGTTCCAGGACAGATCAGTTCTCCTGCATATACGATTTGCGATGCCGATCTGCCTGGAACAGCTGAGAAAGCGTTGGAATGCTTGACCTATTGGTGGTCACACATTACACCGCAAAAAAACTGGGCTGGATTACATTGAAATGTGTCATTCCAACCTAGTCACAAACTTTAATAGAACAGCGGCACTGTCTAATCATTTAATCAGATACATAGATTATAATAGGCAACATTACAGTGTAATGTTGCCCATTATAATCCACTTTTCTAATTAAATTAAAAGCATCAGTGTGCAGTTACACCCATACCACCACCACTCCCCCCACTGCTCCTCATTCAGACTCATCTGCCAAGCCTCACAGGCAGCATCCCAGCCAGGTGGTGTGCACTGCAGGGGGCGGGGCATGTGACACACACTTCTCCTCTCCCACTGCCTATTAGGGACGCGGCCGGGAGAGGAAGTGAGTTGCAGGACCCGCCCCCTTGCTGAGAAGCCCGTTGGCAGTGCGGGGCACTGGACTTAACTGGGCCCCCCCACAGCCTCAGGCCCCAGCAGTAGTTCCGCTCCTGTACAGAGAGTCGCAGGAGAGGGATGAAAGAGCCACATGCGGCTCCATAGCCGCAGGTTGCTGACCCCTGTCTTAAGGGAATACCGGATGCGTAGTACAAAAGGGAAATACAAAAGCATGGTCGGACACTTCCAAAAGTCAGGGCTGGGAGCTTATGTTCATAAATGGTTAAGGGCTAAGGTCAGGACAAGGACAATAACAAGTATAGGAGTATACACACAGCAGTTCTACAACCGCTGAGTTTTCTGAGCAGCAGCGCTTTATAGGGCTCAGGTAATTAGCACCTCCCAGAGGAGTTGTGGTATTAGGATTAAAAATGCACACATCCTGTGTAAGTGTTTGCCATTTTAAATGTGGTGCTGATACTGTGCGGCTAACACTGGAGGGTGTTGGTTTGCAGCAGTCTGAGGAAGTAGTTACAACTAGTTACTTTCGTCCAGCTTCGGCTTTCACTTCGGCTCAGTCGAGCCGAAGCATATGCCTTCGGCTCGACTGAGCCCCTATGCCAACTTCGGGAGCTGTACGGGCTATAGTGAATAGCCCATTCAGCAGCCCTTTGATTCTACTGAACCGAAGTGGTCATGTGGTTGAAGCAAGCTGAAGGATCAGCCGAAGCTACGGCTAGATCCTTCGCAGCTTTGTGAATAGACCCCTGAATGTTCTGTTTAGTTTAAGTTGCAACAATCATTACAGTACAGATAAAGTATCTCCTTTTTGACACACAAGCACTTCAATTTTAAAATCACCCACTAAGTATGATCTGAACAAAAATAATTTTTTTTGGTGGGTAGCGTGGGTGGGTATACCATAAATATAATCTAAGGAGCATAGATTTAAACATATATAACTATGATACTATTTGTCCAATAACACTGAATTGTGTGCAGCATGTGGCTAGTAAATTAGCTATTTTTTCTTGGTGATGTTCACTAAAGTGGTGTTTAAAGTGACACTAAACACAGAAGTTAAATCTTAAAAATGTTTTACTAGGTAAGTAAACAAAAATTGGAAGAGACGGAAGCGCCACTACCTGGCGCAATAAATGTGGTTCAGTGTGGCAGAAAAGAAAGGTAATGGTCTCACCTGTAACTGGGTGAGCGTGAGCGTGTGGCCCCTAGGTTGGGGTGAAACGGTGAAGTCGAGCGGTGGATTCGGTCTCCTTCTCTGTTTGATGGCTTCGGTTCCTCGTGTCCGGTAGTGTGGTTGGGGACACAAGGGTAGAAGGACTGGGGGTGAGGTTATTTTGGTAGGCAAGAGGGGGGGGGGTGGACTTCTGAGACTCACCGTTGGGATGGAGGAGGCATGATGTCAGCGATGACGGCAAGGTTGGTGTTTAGCCAGGATGATGATGGGGTGATCTTCTGGGTGGCTGTTGTCCTCGGGGTCCTGATGGTAGCTTCTGGTGGCTGGAGCTGCAGGGTGAACTGATGTCGACGGGAGAGCCGAGGGACGGCCAGTGCTAGGCCTGGGAGCCGCGGGGCAGAGGAGCTGCCGGGATGTCACAGTGAACGGCTGTTGACGGAAGTGCTGCCAGGGGGAGGGTGACGGAGTCTAATGTTGACCAATCGGAGCAGGGGTGTGATCCCGATGGGGATGGTGGACTGATGTCAGCGAGAGCCGTGTGTCACAGGCTGTCAGGAGCTGTGGCGGAACGGGCGGTGGAGCGCAGTGTCCGTGAGCGGGTGCCTACACCGTGCCCGTGTGGAAAGGGAGTGTTAGGAACACTCGTCAATGTGCAGGCCGTGATAAGCTGTGGCTGGCGACGCGTTTCGAAGGGTAACCCTTCTTTTTCAAGCCGGAGTACAGGGTAAGTACCTACCTAGTAAAAAAAGTAGCTGACAATATTCAGTGGCGTCACAAGGGGGGTGCGGCCCGCACCCGGGTGACATCATTGGAGGGGTGACACCAAAATGACTCACAGTCATTTTGGTGTCAGCCCCCTCTGAAAAGTCGGGCGCTCGGTCATGGACCGCCGGGTGACTGTCCCCTCCTCTCTCTCACCAAGATGGCCGCCGGCAGGTATCAGAATACTGCCGCGCATGCGCGAAGACGTCATCGCGCACTGGCGTGGTGATGTCACGTGCACGCGCAGTGTACAGTATCAGGAGAGAGGAGGGGACCCGGCGGCATACCTTATCTCGCCGGGTGACTGTCACCTCCTCTCTCTGCCGGCGTCCATCACCAAGATGGCCGCCGGCATGTATCAGAATACTGCCGCGCGTGCGCGATGACGTCATCGCGCACGCGCGGTGACGTCTTGGCGGGGTGCCACTTGGTTACCGCTCCGGGTGTCACCCAGCCTCAGGACGCCCCTGACAGTATTAATGCATCACACAAGTTCAGGTCCTCAAATCATCTCTGAATAAATGCTAACACTGTCTTTCCTTCTGGAGGTTGCCTACTTTTGTTCTCCATGGTCCCTGTGTGTGTTGTAAAGTAGCTACTGCTCCAAGCTCGCTCCCATGATGGACTATAACTTCAATACAAATTAGTAAACTAAATCTGAGATTGTAGTCACGGGAGTAAGCTTGAAGCAGTGGCTACTTTACAACACACAGGGACCATGGGGACCAACACACTGGACCCCCTCCAGAAAGAAGGATAGTGTCAGCACTCAGAGATGATTTGAGGATCTACAGCTGAGTGATGCACAAATAAGGTACATTTTGTTATTAGTGAAGGTACTTGAATGCATTTTTAAGATTTAACTCCTGCGTTTGTCGTCACTTTATCTTGCTGTTTTATAATCATCAAATTCAGCCTTAGATCCATATACTGACTTGAAAAAGTTATTTCCTCCAGTACACAAGGGTCATGGTTAATAAATACAGAGTAAAACATATACCATACTTATATCTTCTATAGACAACTAGCCCAAACTAGGTCTGGAGGTGCCATTTTTTAAAATAAATGTAGGTTATATTTCAACCATCTCAATCATTTTGGGTCTTCTAAAGCATCATATAACAGATAAAATACTAGAAAATGAGATGTGAAGAAAATAAAAAAACAGCACTTTTTTTGTATAGAATGGAATATGAGAATAGGTTAAAAAAACAGCACTTGCAAGGGGATCAGTCCAGCCAGTACTTTATTTGTTAAAAGGCATAACAGCAGCAAACAAACAAATGCGTACATGTTTCAGCCCCCACCTCAGGTTTTTTACCTATTGCTCAGTGAAGGCTCTGGCGGAAGCTTTACCAGGCACCGAGGTTTAAGTAGCAGGATTAGAGACAAGAGAGTAGAGCTGCTCAATGTGTCTAAACTGCTACGGAATATGAGAATAGAGCTGATACATGACCCTGGTGCAGTTGCCCTCCATCTCTCTTTCTACAAATAACCATTAATACAAATTGCTCCTACAATTGCAAGATAAGTGAATTACACACTCCTATTTCACGGACTATATAATAACTGAATCATTACATTTAGTACCGGTGAAGTAAATAAACTTAGGAGTATAGTGACACAATTGCCTTCTTATTCAAAAGTTACAGTTGCAAGAAAAGAAAACTGTACATGAGGAAAAATCCATCTAGGAAACATGGCTGATTCTAATTACTAGTTTTTGACTTTTAAATCAACCCTGGTAGGTGACACCCTATTGCTGTTCAATATTTTTTCTCATTTTCACTTTCTTTTGTATCCTGCAGAGAAGTCTATAAAAAAAACATCACTCTGTCTAAATCTTTGATTAATACCAGGATCTTCTCTATCAGTGCTCAGAACAAATGTCACATTTCAAGGAACAAATTGCATATACTTCCACCCTTAATATATTACAAACGATGTGCCAATCATTTGCCAAACAAAACAAATGTGGCATTTACTAATTCGTTCAAATGTCCCCAATTTAATTTCCTTGAAATGGCAGGAGTGCTTACTTTACTTTGCAGCAGCATACATTAAAAAGAGAGTTTGGTTTAATTTTTATGTCACCAAGAAACTGTCAAATTTTAGATTAATATTTTAATGTTAATTGTTTATCTGTTTAATTAGATCATGAAAGATCATTTATGTGCAGTTACCTATGGCAATCAGATTTCACTTTTTGGTAAAGAAGGTTGAAAATACTGGAAGATGATTATTGGTAATCTTCCTACAGTACCCTACACAGCAAACGTCAGACCCTATGACCTCATTCACTAAAGGCATAGAGCATGTTAACTTTTAAAGTGAATTTTCGCTTTTCAAAATAAACTTTTACTAATTCTTAGGAAATTAGGTAAAACAAAAGTGAAAATAAAAAACCATTTTGCAAAAAATATCTAATCACGTGCAATAAAAATAATGAGCTAAGTTAAATAAAAATGCAGGTTGCAAAGCGAAAGTTCACTTAGCTTAGTGATTAGGTGAAGTCATGTTGACTTCAATCATTCAATCATGTACAAGCAAAAATCCTGTTTTTTTTATTTTTTTTGCACATGATTCTTTGCAAAGTAAATTGTAACTTTGTTTTAACTTTTTCAATAAGATAAATGAGACTTCATTTTGCAAAGTGAACATGCGCTACTCTTAACTTTTTCAATCCACATGCAGAAAGTTGGTGGATCTGTTTGGTTCCATATTAGGGGAATACAAATATGAGTTTCATATTTCAAGAAATGCACCATTAGAGAATTATTGTATTTGGAAATGGTGCATTTAGTCAGTTGGAGAATGCAAGCAGCCAGATAACCCCTCACATCAACCATCACTAACTGCTCAATGGCCTGTAGGACATTATCTCAGAAGGGCTTCAGCTTTGGGCAGGAACAAAAAAAGTGTAACATCATACCTGTTGCCGTCTGACAATGCCAGCAAGTAGAATGGATCCCGGAATAGATCAAGTGTAAAACACTCAGGACTTTGTTCCATCTCGATACAATTTTATATCCAAGCTCCTGGAACTTGCAGGCAATGAAAATAAAACATTATTCTGGGTAAATGAAAGAACCAAGTCCTTTTCCCACTTGGATATGAAGCCTGGGTCAGAGTCAGATTGGGGCCGTGTGGGGGAAGAATTGTATAGATTTGTGATATGACTTGCCGAACAGGCTCAATGCCACTGCACAACATTTCAAAAGTCAATAAGGGGCAGGACAGGGCCTGGGAGTTAGGGATAGAGAAGAAGAGATCAAATAATTGAAGCATGCTCCAGTGGTCCAACCATGAATCAGATAAATGAAATAATGCTTCAGTAGAGAGCCACTTGTCCCCTGCTAAGAAGTTGAGTAAGCAGAAGAGGTTTTCAGAATACAAGCAGCACACTCTGCTTTTTTCCGGGACAGGGTAAAATTCACAATCACAATTTACCGGACTCACAATCACCATTCACTGGAGTCATAGGAGAGGGGAAGGAGTTAGTGTGGTGGACCGAAAGACAAATCTCACTAACTGGACCATTGGGCAATGATCAGGTGAGTACGAAGACTAGGGGGCAATGGGACTGAAAGCCAGGGCCAGTATGTTATCTTTTGGTTTGTGTCTCATGAATATATATGAATATGTATATGTGAAAACCTGTGCATCACTAAAATATTCACCTATCCTCAAAATAATTTGGATGCTAGAGTTATACTGCATGATGTAAAGTTCAGCTATTATGGGTGGGATAGATCTTAACTACTGTCTTTACCTTTACTCCTTATCTACAAAGGAACTCCACTCACTCTGATCTGGGTTTGTCTCTACTTCCTCTCGTCTTTCTTTATTTTGTTCTGACTCCTCCTTTATGAACTTCCTGGAGTTAACCTTAGGCAGACTTTGTCAGTCTTGTATACACATACACAGACAGTGCAAAACCAACCCAGGTGATCAATGAGAAGTTACATTTTGTAAAGATTTTAAAGTTGAAATGCATTTCGGTGTTATTGGTGATTTTGCTTTGTACACCATCACTACTGTTTATACTGCCTTGTTAAAAAGTCTGTATCTTTGTCTGTTCTTTGGCAGCAATTTGAAGATGTATAAAATTAGTGGGTTACTTATTTGTAAAGAAAGCAGGTAAAGTTCAATATTAATCATAATAATAAATAATTAATTATGGTGTTTACAGTATGTAAAAAAAAGTATTGACAAGTGTAAAGTGCTACAATTAAATGTACATTGACCCTTTTCATTTTCTTACAGACAATACAAAAAGAGATGGAAAAACGACAACAGCAATTAAAGAACATCCGAGACTTAGGGGATTCACTCAAGGCAGTGATTGGTGAAAGCGGCAATCTGGTTGATGATAAACTTAGTCTACTGAATAGCAATTGGCTGGCTGTAACATCAAGAGTTGAGGAATGGTTCCGCCTTTTATTGGTAAATACAAGTTTGCTTGTATACTGCAACAAATAAATAGTAAACCAGATAAAGTTTATTGTAAGTAGTATCTAGGGCAAAAATTCAAACTTCAGATAAAGAATCTAAAAGCACATAACTCCCTTATGTGAAGAAACTGTCCATATTATTTATCTTTACAAAATAATACATATGCATGAACATCTTCAAAATTTAAAATTTTTTCAAATTTAATACTGTTATCTTAACATAAAATTGTGCCGCCTATGCACTTGAAAAACAATTTTTAAATGGAATTAAGATTGTGCCAAGTTCACTATGAAAAATGGGGAAGTAAAAAAATCAATATAGTCATTACAAAAGATTTAATTTATGGAATTAAAGTGGAGCACAATGTCAAAAACAATATTAAGTCTAGTTATGTATTCATTAATTATCATTTTTCTTTTTAGATTCCACTCTTTCATTGCAGCATAAGCATGAGGAGGAGGAAGAGACACATACAGGGCAGTAATGAATGTCTCTGGTTTCCTCTACTCTGACAATAGGAGATTATAGGACATCTCACCGAGCTTCCTGGTTCTGAAAAGATGTGGAATAGATAAAGAGCTGCATATGGGGCCCCTGGGTTCCGTGTTAGACTTCACTGCTGTAGTATAATGCCTCATTTACTTGACAGCTTCTGAACAACATTTATTTGACTGTTTCTTTAATTCAGGAATATCAAAAGCAAATGGAGTCCTTTGATCAAGGCATTGCTAGCACTACAGCTTGGATGTACCGTGCTGAAATATTGCTAGATGATATGGACAAACAGAAACCACAGCAGAGTGAAGAGACCCTGAAGGTATCACACTTAAGTCCACCTAAACTTTCTAGTTTTTTTGCACTTAGGTTCCATACATAGCTTGAATTTTGGCCAGTTCAGCAAATTAAGGTGTTTCTATTAATAGTTTTTAATTACTCAAGTAAATTAGGATAGATATTTTTGCTCATTACATATATTGTCTTTCATAATGATAATCCCTCCCTTTCAGACATTTCTATACATTTTAGTATCACAACCTTAAATTAAAACTAATGTTATTGCATTATATATAAAGATTTGATCACAATGTTGAAGTGAAAATTTCTGCATAGCTTTCCAATTCTTTATTACATAAATATTTTACTTACTCTGCTGCGACCAATTGCTTACGATGTTGCATAATTAACTGCATGGAAAACAGCTGTGTTCAACATGTGTCTCAAAATATATATTTGTATCTGGGAGAAATAATTGTTTGCTAGGAAATATATGTTATTAACCCCTTGCCCATTGTAAAATTATGGACGGATGGCGGATGCTTCCTGGTGGGTGGACGTATATTTACTTGATTTACTTACTGGTTGTGGGCACTCCCTAGCAGATACGCATAAACAGGACCCGGCCGGGAATCCAAACAGCTGTTACCAGCTGTTATATACAAATGTTCGGGCCAACTCCGCGGCTGGGCCAATCGCTTGTATGACCGTGCCTGCTGCCGTGCCCCCTCCCCATCGCTGCCGGTCATCCCAGGCTCCGCTGTCCCTCCTGTGAGCCCAGGACCGGCACAGCGACTGCCCGTACTGAGAAGTAGGGAAGTTCATAATTTTCCCTCCTCTCTCCTCCTTCTCTCTGTAAAGGCGGAAGCAATGTATATTACATTAATTCCGCCTTTAGCTGTCATTCTCTGGCTGAGAGCCAGAGAAGAAGCTGGTGAAGCAGATCTCTGCTTCATCAGCTTCTTTGGGGGTCCCTAGGTGACATCAGGGGTCTTATAGACCACTGATGTCTCTATAAAGAGGACCTGTCAATGTATATTGGCTATCACAAAGGGGGCTTGTTATCCGCCTATGTGATGGCAATCAAGTTAAGTGTAAAACGAATTAAAGTCCCACATAAAAAAAATATAAAACACCCAAAAATGTTTTAAGTCCCCCACCCCCACGTGCATGCACTTATAAATGTAAATACGCATCGGGTGCACCAATGTGCGAAAACAACCATTACGCCATGCATGTTACATATCACCGTGAACACCGGAGTGCAAGCACTAATTCTAGGGCCATCAATCAATGATTACATTAAATTGAGTGGTAAAAGCTTTTAAAGCATTGCCTATGGACAATTTTAGGCATGGTCGTTTTTTGAAATTTCGCAGGCGCACGCAATTTTAACCTCTTGCCGTCCGCCTGTAGTAAAAAAACGGACGGACTGCACTGCTGCATTGGCGGGTTGCCGTCGCTAGACGGCATTTTTTTCTGCTCGCGCGCGCCCCCTAGCGGGCACGCACGGGCAGAAAAGACCCGACCATTGCACACACCCGTTACCGGGTGTTTCACATATAGGCGATCAGCGGCTCCATAGCCAGCCGATCGTTTATATGTGCTCGTTCGCCCCCCCGCGCGGACGCCGTCGGT